AAAAAGGAAATCAAAACGAAAACGAAAAAAAATAAAATAAAATTATGAGAAAAAAGTACTAAAAGAAATTTTAGGTGCTAGATTAAAAAAAAAGGAAATCAAAACGAAAACGAAAAAAAATAAAATAAAATTATGAGAAAAAAGTACTAAAAGAAATTTTAGGTGCTAGATTAAAAAAAAAGGAAATCAAAACGAAAACGAAAAAAAATAAAAAATAGAAAAAGATGGTTTTACAATTTTTTTTCTTTTTTACTTTCATGAAAAAAAAAATATTTGACAGAGCCACAAAAAAGGGACAAAATTTTAAAAATGTAATGTGAAAGAATAAAAATTCAGTAAGGAAAAATAAAAGGTAGAAGTTTTATAAACACTTTATATTACTACTTTTTTAATTATGTTTTGCATGTTTCATTCTTGAAACATTTTTTTTTGTTACATTTCCATTTTTACATTTTTTTTCTTTTGCTTTCTAAAATACTGGAACAAGTTTCTCCCCATAATGCAGTCGGAACTTGAGACACAGACACAAACATGAGATGACGTGAAAGCAGGAAGCATCAGCGAGAGGTGGAGAGGAGGAGGAGCTCTGGATGAAGATGAATTCAGAGGAAATTCGAGGGGGGAAAGTTTTCTGTCGGACAGATGGAGCGCAGATCCAAAACCATCCTTGCTGCCTTTCTCCTGTGAGCGGGCGGAGGCTGGACGGATATCATCTTCTGGAGCGATAACGCTCATCAAAGTCGGAACTGACAGGGCTAAAGAGGAGTCCTTACGACGAGACGTTTCAAAGAAGAAGTGGAAAGATTTTCACAAGCTGGCTCCCTTAGAGGGAAGTTTGCAGGACAAAAAGGAGCTTGTTTAAAGCTTCAGAGTAGAGAGGCATGCTGGGAAGTGGGAAAGGGGGCGAGGGAGGGGTACCTGTACGTGCGGTTCCTCTGATTAACGGACGCGGTGCGTGCAGGGCTCTGCTGAGGGGGCGCCATGTTGCGCGTCGGGCTCGAGACGTAGTCGTTAGGGACAACGGGCGGACGCACCGGCTCGAGCGTCCGGAAGGGGGAGTGGCGCCTGTGAGGGGGAGGTGGGGGTTAGAGGGAGTCCAGGGGTGGGGTGGGGTGGGGAGAGGTGCATTCAAAGGTGAGTGTTGGGGAAAGGAGGGAGGAGGGGAGGAGGAGAGTAAGAAACAAAGCAAACTTAAAATAATAAATGACAAATGACAGATGGTGAATATGGGGGCAACAGGTGAGGAAACTGGAGGAACGACACACTGACATGTTCCTCGTCGTAGTCGGGCTTTTTTCTCTCAAAACGCTGCACGATTTCATCCTTTCTATGAAATATAAACTAATCTGTCTATATTCACTAAAAACTAACCAACCTAAAGCACGTGGAATGATTATCTCTGTAGATATTTCCCACCTTCCTGCATCAACAGGTTTCCCTGTTTTGGAGAAATCGCCTTTTTTCCTTTTTAATAGCTGAAAGGCATAAATTGGTAAATGGAAGTAAAAGAGACAATAACTGTTTCATATTTTGTTTAGGATTGTTTTACATTTCGACTTTGGGCGTACGGCCAAATTAAGCAGAAAGTGGTGGCCATGATGGTTGAAGTGAAGCCAGTTTATTCAGTATCAGGAACAATTGGCCAAAAATGAACCGAAACCTTCAGGAGAAGCTTATGGAAGGAAACCCAGTTGAGAGGGAAACTCCAAGCAATGCTTAGGAAATATAAAAAAATAAATAAATATAAACCTCCACTGTGAAGCGGATGGAATCAAAGTAAGCAAATCTTATATTTTATATTGTTTTTGGGTTGTAACTATTTACTTTGAGATCTTCATTTACAGTCCAGTCATTTTTGCTCTTAAATGAGGCGTAATCTTTATACAACATTTTTTCGATAGAAATTAACTCCCTCTGGTTGTATAAAAAGTTGTTTTGTTATCTTTTTTAAGTGTAAAGTATCTCGTCCAGTTTGCATATTATTTCTGGGTTTTAGGCTTTATTTTTGATGGATTTTTCCGCAAATAACCCTTCTGTGTATATTTCTGATAACAATATGAAGATATAACAATAAGGAAGCATTGGGGCTATGCTAGTTAGCACCTTCCAGCAAGGTTGGGAAAATAATAATGTTGGGACACGATTTAAGTTTTAAATAGTTAATATCTCCTTATTTAAGATAAAAGAAAAAATGTGATTCATTGATTTTTTTTTTACACGTTAAAATATATCTAATCCAATATAATATGTAAAAAAAAATAAAGACCAAGATCCAGTGTGAAAAAGCACAAAAAAGAAAGACTGAATAAAATATGAATGTTTGCATACACATGCTATTCTTCGCCTCTGCTGACTAATTACAAAAAAAGATAAAAATAGAAAAAAAGACATATTGATTTTTTTTTCTCTAGCAGCGGTTAAAATCCAGAAGATCACAAGATCAGACTTAATTCAGAGCTCATCAACAATGCACTCACTGTGGATTTGCACTTTTTTTTATTAATTATAATATATTTAACTTTAGATGCTGTGTCTTTGTTTTTGATAGGAAGATGTTTTTTCTTTCTGCTTGATATTCTATTAGGAGACGGTAGAATTTGCTGTAGATCGGTTACTGTTGCTTAACTGTGAAGCATTGCAGGATGGCGGCATGTCTGTTTATGTCAGTTCATGGCACCTGGTGTTGGAAATCTATTTAGGCTCAAAAAAGGACTATTTAAAAACTATCAAGACGGATGTTTGGTGGATATAACTTTTTTTTTTAATGGATTAAATAGTTCTTGGTCTTTTTTTACAAAGGAATAAAATGTGACTGTCACTTTAAGAAACGGCTTAAATCTATTTTTGAGCTAGGTGTGCGTCACTCTAAATTTTTTTTACCGGAAAAACATTTATATACGGATTTAAAGCTGTAAATTTATCACAACTTTTAATAAAAGGATCTTATCTAGGAAATAAAATCTTAAAACATTTTTTTCCCATTTTCTCTTCCAACCAGGAAGTAGGTTGGTAAGCAGGAACAAGCTAACCCGTCCCGGTTTTTATTCCAACAGCAGCAGCTCTGATGAGGAAGCAAAGATTCAGCGATCTGCAGAGATGTGCTGATCACCGTTTGGATGCATAAAGGGTTCCATGTATAGCAGCCTGGAGTGGTCAAAATAAATAAAAGATGGAATATATATGTGGGGGAAAAAAAGAAATCTGGGAGGCTTTTTTGCTTAACAATCAAAGAGGATGATGTGCATCTTGAAAGGTGATGAAAACACACCCATATGGGTCAATAGGAAGGTGTGGACACACTGGACTTCTCACAGACAGACATAGTTTCATAGACACAGAGACAAACAGCACCTGAGGACAAATATACGAGCTGAGGATGTAGAACGCCTGGAGGATTAACACCTTATAAATTAAACTTTTATTAAAAAGTTAATAAATATAAAACATGGGAGATGCTCAGCCTGTGTGAGGAACTGCAACAGAAAACAAAACAATCTTAATTTTCTACTCAAAAATCATCCTTACATATTGAAAACAGATCTTTTTTTATATATAAATCTGACTACAATCAATCCAACAGTAGTTCCTCCTCCCATT